GTCTATTATTATTACTATTACTATTACAAATTCAACTACGGAAACTTTTATTATTACTATTATTATTATTTTATTATTTTATTTTTATTTACTATTATGGTTTTCCATTTGTATTTTCAGAGCCAACTATTGTTGAATCAAAATAAATAAAGCATTTCTTGTCTTCTTTGTATTACAATACTCATGATGATTATGAAATGCATTTGTACGAATCGAATCGAATCGAGTCGAATTTTAAAACGATTCATTTGTTCTGTTACTCGATTCGAATCAAACTGAATCCCTAAAATTTTTTTTTATTATATTGAGAGGTAGCTTTTTGACCAACCTTGATTGTTTTACGTTTACGACCAAATTCGAGTTAACTTTTTGGCTACACTCGTCTATTAATTGCAAGCTTTTATATTCAATGCTTGTCAATTAATTTATTTTACAAACTTATTTAACAACTATCCTGCTTACAGCCTTATACCTAAGAAAGCTTCATAATACAAATAACAACAAATTAAAATAAATAAAGAGGCAATAAAGACTCCTGTAGAGTTCTTATTTTAATTACTTTACTTTTACTTTTCTTTGGCCAATTGAAGTCAGCCGTATGTTTACAACAATTACATTAACACAATACAATATGTGATATCGACTTTTGTCAGTAACTGTTAAACACTTGATATTTCTGCCAATCAGTCTTAACACCTTACGTTTACACTTAAACGCTTAAACCTGTTTACAAAGTTTTGCTTTATACCAAAGCAAATAACCAAAACCTCCGAGCTCTATACCACTCTGATAATCAAACGAACAATTAAACCCTACTGTTTAATTTCCGACCATAAAAGTGTTTTATTAAACAAAAAATTACTTTAATAATAAAAATAATATTAAATGTAAAATACTTTCAAATATAAAAATATCAAAACGAAAGAGGCTATGCCATATGTCCGATACACGATTGGACGACACTTCTATAAATCCGTTTATTTTTTTTTTATCACAATATATTGTAATAGTATATTTTGAATTAGATTTGAATCAGGTCGAATCAAAGCACAATTTATATTCGATTCAAATGAAACGAATCAAAAATCATGCGATTCGGTTCTATTCAAATTTCATTGATTCATCAGGAGCCTTATGTATCACTTTAAAACTAAGATTTGCCTCCAATATTACCATTATAAACTTGATGAGATTAAAATATTACGGATTCCTCAATATTCTTCATATAAATGAACTACATATTAATATGTCATTTGACTTAAAGGGTTCAAATAATTACAGAGATAACTATTAAAGTTAACTATGGCAACTATGAAAACTAATTATGACATAACAGATACAGCAATGATCATTTATTAAGAAGGGCAATTATGGCGAACAACTATAATGGGGAATAAAATTTGATAGGGAAAAAATGTGGGCAAGGAGATCTATCAAGCGATAAATCAATTTCCAAATGTGGTAATTTGTTGATAAAGATTTTTTCTTTATAAATACTAAATCCATGTGTAAAAGATTGCTGAACAAAAATTAAGGTTCGTGGCTAATACAAATTTTAATATTATTAATAAATTTCAGACGTCGATCATCAAAAAAACTTACGATTACTTGAAAATAGAAATAAATGGTTCCTATAATAAAGATTTTTATCTGTTACACAAACAAACTTGATTAAACAAATTGGATAGGACCGATTCATTATTTATTTTGGCTGAGATTATAAATAAACAAATGAATTTACGATAAACTCGGAGATCACCATGCTCAGCAATGATTATATACTAATGTGATAGCGAAATTACCTAAAATGGAAGGTGTGGGAATTTTATTTTGTATGAACTACTAATAATAAGAACTACACATTTATCATTATTATTATATACACGTTTTTTTTTGTCTCAAGTAACAAGAATATCTTTATAATATTATTTCCCTAAGATGGGTTGTGAATCTTATTTTTTTTACTGGTTACGCTTTTTTACTACTCTTGGTAAATTTCATAGGCGATTCTTTCTTTATTTAAATATTCAATGGTTTTTAGTATCATTTATTTTAAAAAAATAAAGTGCAATTTTTCACCTTAATCTTTTGTCAATATATTATGGACTGCAGTAGCATAATTTTTAGGATTTGATATAAATTAGCTTCCCTATTCTGGTAAAACTGTTCTACCATTTCAACACTTGGTGAAACTCTTTACTAGCATCCTACTCCAATCTATATTTTTTAAAGTTTGTTAATTGAGCAAAATAAAAAGAATGTTATTTATTAAATACTAAATGATGATTAATGCACAAAAATGTTTGGACCATCATGTTAAACAAGTAAAAATCTTGAAGAATTTATATTGCCGAAGGAATAAACCTATTCATTAATTTAGATGCAAGCAGGAATCCAAAATTAAAACTTCCTACAGGGAACTCGCGTTCCTTGATCTAAGCAATAACATTAATCTCGCTGAATTATATGCAGATAACAGTAATCTTACTGATTTAGATTTTATCAGAATTACTAGTCATTAAATTAATTAACTGGATCAGATGTTAGCAAAACGCAAAACTTCTTTTTTTGTTTTGTATTGTGATTATAATAATCAAATAACCAACCTTAATGTAAGTGAAAGCAATAATCCCATATTGGTTGATCTAATTAAAAAAGACCAGGAAAGACCAAGAGAAAGCGATTGCGTTTCCTCTAATGTTTGTTTTGTCTTCTTTATAATAAGTCTTTCAATGAAGCTATAATTATCCTTCAATTTATTCTCGAAGTTTAAGCAAGCAACCTTAATTATGGATTTTTCTGTTTTGCCGTTGGTTAATAATTGTTCTAATTGTTGTCTGCTAATTGTTTTACATTTAATGATCATAGAGTAATTGCTTTTTTGCTCGTGTGATCCTTATTGTTATTATTTGTTTGTTGAGCTTTAGCTAGGGATTGAAATAATTACCACTTTTTACTGTCTAAATATTTCCCATGGTCCGAACTTACTGAAGAAATGATAATATTTTTTTTCTCACTAAATATGTAATAAATAAGATGGGGGATATCGATTAATTAAAAAGTTGTTATCAATAATTAAATAAGTGTCAGCAGATAGCTAGTCATGCAACTAGTTAATTTTCGAGTTAGTAAAATATCTCATGTGTCAAAACTAGTCAGCTGTATGAATACATCATAATAGATCAGATCAATTAATTATCTTGAATTGTTTTGTTCCTTATTTTTCTATTATTCTTCTTTTTTCATATACTTATTATTGTTCTTCATCCAACAAAATTTCTGCTGCAATTGTTAAATTACAGTTTTCTTTGTTCAAATAATAATAACAATAGATAAGAACACAAACATACATAAACGGAAAGAGTGTGGCACAACCTTTTTAATCATGGATGGCAGTTCATTCAACTTTGCCGCAATTTCTTCTCCATTAATATTAATATTGATATTAATAAAAAAGCTTCCCGGATTATAGTTTGAATTATTCACCAATCTTAAGAAATTTCTCACGTTAACTTTGGAAAAAAAAAAAATTCTATTGCTATATTATATTTCGAGAAATTTGAATTTTTACCATTACCATTACCATTACTATTACTATATCATCGGGTTCCATTAATCCGTTAATTCATCCAGTCTAGATTTTAACAATTTCTTGATCGAATTCAAGTTTTTTTATGATGGCGTATCGTAATTTTCGAAAAAGCCAAACTATTTAAACCAACTATATAAAATATATAAAGTATTAGTATATATTAATATTAATATTAATATTAATACACAGTATACAATATACTCTCGGACCATAATAACTAATAATAATGTGTCAAATGATATGTGTGTGCATGAATGTTATCTATTTTCTGTTGAGTTGTACAATTTTATGTATATGTTAAAGGTCGTCCATTATTATTAAAAAAAATATGGATAAAAATGAATAAATTTTAAATAAAGAGGTTGAAAAAAACTGCATTTAATGAAAAAAAAAAAAACTTAATGCATTTAATTTTCTAAAAAAAAAACACTCGCAAGGTACACGCATCAATCACATCACTGATGATTTTGATTTTATCATCTAATAAAGTCTCGGCTTTTAAATTATCCTAATTCATCTAACACATTAATGTATTAATAATATGCATGCAAAAAACGTGTTAAAAATCAACCGAGTTGTTAATAATCTTAATATTAATAGGGAATTGTTATTCGCACCCCTCCCGTGACTAAGTGTAATGTGACCAATGAATGGCTTTAAAATGTGATGATTTATCTTTGTCTTAGTCACGGGAGGGGTGCGAATAACAATTCTGTATTAATAATCTTAATATTAATTAATAATATTAATATTAAAAATATGGCGAAGATCAATAATTAATATATTTGGTAAGTTATAACACACAAATCTAATTTTGTAATAGTAAAAGCAAATACCCCGAATATTTTGTCAAAAACGGCAAGTTAGTTTCCTTTTTTAGACCCTTTTTTTTAAAAAAGATTAAGACTTTACTGGTGCTTTTATGAATAAAATAAAATTCAATGTGGAATATGATTTCTAACCAAATTTGATAATTATCGACAGGTTTGTAAAGAATTACCAATTTGGTTTTCACCATATCAGTTATAATTAACCGAAATTTAATATAAAAATTTTTGTTAATATCAAATCTATCATTAAACATTAATGTTAAGTATTATAAATCAATCTCGACGGATAAATCTATTTAATGGCTTCGGGAAACTACCCATCACCACCATGAATCGATTGAATGATTGGTCTCGTTGAGATATTTTTAAAAAAAATAATTCTTCCAAGCGGTCAATTTGATTTAAAAAAAAATTAAAAAATAATCGATCATCATTTATTCAATGGGAAGACGGATAAACAAATAGTTTGTGTTTATTAATCAATAAAAAAATTAACTTATAAATGCCATGAAATATTTATATATTTTCAATATTAATATCTATTTAATATTAATCGATTTACAAACACGTATAAAACAATGTTGCATAAACATAATAGTAGTAATAATTTATCGATTATTGCCGGTGGAAATGATAACAATGGGGAGACTCGCCCACTTTTATCAAGCAATCTAGATAAAACAAATCCCAAATATTCGCCAACTACTACTACAACTACAAAATGGTATAAAAGACCATCATATCATTGGATATTACCATCCTTTTTTTTATTATCAGTAACTTTTGGACTCGCAGTTACAACAAAAATAAATTTTTATTTAAAAGTTATTTGTAGAGAATACTATTCAGCGGGTGATGGTGTCCATAATGTTGATTATGATGATGAAAGTTGTAATACAAGTGAAATATCTGCACTAACTTCTCAACTTTTACTAAAATTAAGTTTATTTCACTCCATACCAGGTAAAAAAAAGAACTTGAATATATATGCATGCACATATAACTCCTAATTACTTTAAATGCTTACCATCTATCTTTTTTTACATGAGAATAGCAATAGTCGTTTTAGGATCATTAGGATCATTATCAGATCGTAGAGGTAGACGTATAGTATTATTATTGCCAACAATTGGGGGAATATGCATTTCATCATGTATAATATTAGTGGACAAGTATTTATATGGTAACCCTTTTGGAACTAAATTGTTGTTGTTTGGATCATTTTTGGATGGATTGACAGGAAGTTACACATCTTTGGTAGCTGTTAGCCATGCCTATGTAACTGATTGTACCGAACCTGGTAAAAGGTGAATATTGGAGTTTTTTAAAAAAGGTTTGAATTATCTAGGGCTAATAATAATTAAAAAATCCCCATTTATTTTAGAAATATAGTGTTTGGATGGTTGATGGGGTCATTGTATTGTGGATTTTCAATAGGACCAATGATTGCAGGATGGATAAGTCAAGCTACTGGTAATATTATGTCAGTATTTTACGTTTGTCTAGCAACTTACACACTACTTTTCTTATTTACTCTATTGCTTCTACCGGAGTCTTTATCGATTGATAAACAAATGGAAAGTCGAATCAAACAAATGAATGATGAAAATAATAATAAGAATAGTAATGATAATCATAATATTACAAAGAGATCATTGATGGCTTTAAAAAAGGTTATGGATTTTTTAAATATTATAAAACAGCTTTCCATATTTTTACCAGCATCAAAAAACAATAGAAATAATGAAGAAAGTAAAGTGTTAGGAAGATATGCATTATTAAATTCAGCAATAATAACTTTTTTTACATCCTTTGCAATTTATGGAATACAAGCAGTGTTCTTATTATATATATCGTTAGTATTTAAACTATCAGTGGTTGAACAAGGTTATCTTTTATTTGTTATCGGTGGAGCAAGAGTTGTTATATTGATGTTCCTATTTCCCATGTTATTGAATTATCTCAAAAAGGCAAAAATAAATAAAAATAATAAGACTAGAAATAGTAATAATAATAATAATAGATTGGAGGATTTAATAGAAGAAGAGAGCGAAGAAAGTAAATTACGATTAAAAGGAGAATTGTTGAAATTAGAAATTTGGGTAATTAGAATTGGATTATTTATTGAAGCTGCTTGTATGACTTTATATGGAATAATAAGTAGTGGCGTTGCATTAATAGGAGGTAAATCTTGATAATAATTTTATATGTGTGTGTTATATTAATAACCATCCATTGACTTGCATTCATAATCTCATATTCATCATTATTATTTTTAGTGGCAGTGACTGCATCATTAGGATCAACAGCATTTCCAACTTTGAAATCATTTCAAACAAATTTAGTTCCTTCTTCCAAAGTTGGAGAATTATTAGGAGCATTAGCAACTATTGAATCTGTAGCTGCAATTGCATCACCAATATGTTTTAATACGTTGTATAGTATATTTGTCACCGGATCTTCTCCATATTTTATATGGTATTTTATTGGTGGTATGTTTTATGTTGGTTTTTTTTTAACATTCGCAATTAGATTTACGGATGGCATTAATAATAAAAACGGAGAAGAAGGAGGAATAGGATATGAAATTAGTGACGGAGAATATGTTGATGATGATGACATTAATGTGTAATTTCTGATGGTGTGATCTCTGTTGTCAATGGTATCAAGGGTGATACATTATAATAACCATTAGTGTCATTGATGTAATAGATGGACCCGTGGTTAATTGGTACTGGTTAGAATATGATTGATTAATGAAGATGATTTATTATTTATAAAGACTTATTGTAATTATAAAAATTTATTGTATTATTATAATGTATTTTTATTATAAAATTTATCAATGTATTTTTATTTCTTTTTTTGTATATTTATAATAATAATAAAAATAATTGTATAATCATGTGGTCTTTTTGTTTAATTATGTATCACACACATATAATCTTAATATTAAACTTTAACCATCGTCATAAGTCGATCATGTGATCAATTATAAACATCCATCCAAAAAGCATAATTAACATTGAAAAAAGGTATTGTTAATTGTTGAATGGATGGATGAATGGATGGATGAATGAATTAAATGAAAGAAATGAAAGGATGAATAAAAATACAAGTGATTGAGATACGAGTATTAGGGATAGTTGACGTTGATAGGAGAAATAAAGAGTTAAAGATTTGGTAGATTTGGAAGTGACGTAATAAATTACGAATAAATGAATTTTTATTTTTAATTTTGACTGTACAATATAAATATATGATGAATGATTGACAGATTTTTTAGTTTGTTAAAGTCTATAAAATATTAATATAAATTATAAATAAATAAATAAATAAATAAATAAATAAATAAATAAAAAAATATATATGACAAATAACGACACCATCTGACTCATTCATTTTACTTCCTGGATTATAATATAAATTTCTTTATTTATTATTCTCCAACTTAAAGACGACAGATTATATTGTAGATACCTTTTTGTTTCTTCCTCTCTCTCTTCCTCGATCTCTCAATCTCTCAATCTCTCAATCTCTCAATCTCTCAATCTTCCAATCTCCCAATCTCTCTTCTATATCTTACTAACAACAATTAACGAAAAGTCATAATTCTTTGATAGTTTATGTTATCATCTCTAAAATTTATATAATTAATTAAAATAAAAGTAAAAATAAATTATAAATTATGATTTAATATATTGTAAATCTTAATTGTGTGTATGATGTATGTATCAATATAATTTGTATAATTCATTTTAATAAAAATAGAAAGTAATAACAAAAATCTTAAAAAATGTGACTGGCTTTATTTATTTGGGTCATTTTAAACCGTCTCAACTGACCAACAACTAACTAATTATTATTATATCCATATTGCATAATGATAGTTAACTATTGCAAAATAATATACAAATAAATATATTTTTAAAGATTATTTAAAAACACCACCTTTTTCATTTTTTTTATAATTAATTTTCTTCTCCAAAAAAAAATCAAGAATCTTTAATTTTTTTTTCCTTGCTAATTAATATTTTTCTAATTTTTTTTTGCTTTTTCCTGTTTTATCTTACTTTACAATTCAAAACTTTAAAATATAATTAATTAATTAAATAATTTTTTGTTTTTATTTTTTTATTTATCCCAAAAAAGATTTATCATAAAAAATCGAACGATGTTTATCTAAATTTTTTTGTATTAAAAGGACTGCAAGACCTTTTCTTTCTCTTTTTCAAGGTTTACAAAAGTTTGTTTATTAATAGTTATTATTAATCATAATTATTAAATTAACAACAAAAACGTGGATTTTTCAAGGTAAACTTTTTTATAATAAATATATTATATTATTATATAATATACAATGATATATCAATATTTATTGTTTCAAATTATTCTGATTTTTACTAATTAAATTATAATTATGTATGTAATAAACATATATATATAAACACCTCCTTTTCCTCCTTTCATCCTACCTTTCTCTTTCTCTCTTTAATTTGCTAAAATGCACGCATAAATATATAGTTTAAAACCATGAAGCGTCGAAAATCGCTAAAGATTTAAATTAATTAATTAAATAATAACATAAGATTGTCTTGTAGAAAAAGACAATTAGAATACATCAGTAAAAAAAAAGACTTTTAAAAACAATTTTTTCTAAAGGGAGAACCCACTTTTTTTAATTTCGTAGTAAATTTTTTAAAATTTATTTTCACACACCACAAAAAAAACAATAATAAATAATAATAATAATAAACACCAATTCATACATTTGTTTGTACGCACATAACACACAACCTTTCTCATTATATTTTTCATAATATTTTTCACAATACCACTGCACGACACAAATTCCTTATTCCCTATCTATCTTACTTTTATTATTCTGTTACACGGACCTTCGTTACTCTAAACTACAGAATTAATCCAGATTAGTCATTATTTATCACTATATATTATTACCAATTCAACGTATACGCAGCAACTTAATTATATAGCATTCAATTAACAACAGCGGATTATTACATTATTACCACACGTCTACAATTACTACAACTAAACTAAATTAACTGAACACCAACAACATAAAAAAAAATATATATTCACGGACTTTAATCAATTTTCCGAACGATAACAAGGTGTAACAAAAATAAATATACTGAAAGAAATATTTAACTACGGAAAAAAACAAAAGAGAATTTCCTTTATTTTTATTTTTTAACTGTGCCGATTTACTTTCAAAAAAAAAATATATATATATAAATAAGATTTCTTTCCTTTTTTTTTTAAAAAAAAATTTAAAAAACTCAATTTTAATAATTTAAAAATATTCAAATACAAACGCCTTTTTATTATTATTTAAAATGACACCAATACTATCAACAATATATTCAACATTTAAATCATCAACAACACCAAATATAATATCATCAATAAACACAAAAATGTCATCAACAATACATCAATGCGATGAAATGTCTTATATATACGAAACAACTTTACAAAAATTTAACAACTATCATGAACGAGAGAAAAGTTTAAGGAAGTTCGTGTTGCTTCGTAATTTTTACACAAATCAATTCTTAATTCCGCCACCATTGAATAATAATCAACAACAGCAACAAGAAGAATATAATAATAATAATAATTTTGTGGAATATTTTAATGAAAAACTTGAATGGTCAGAAGACGATATAAAGAAAGAAGAAGAAACTTGGTTGGATGCTTGTTTAGATAATGCTAGTTTAGACGAATACGATGATGGTTATGTTTATGTAATTAAACCTAATGATGGCGATCAACAAATAATCGGTGAAGTTGGAGGTGTTGTAGTGGCAGGAGAAAAAGAAGAAAAAGAACCAATAATTAACTATAGAGATGAAATAATAATACCTAATGATCTATTTTTAGAAGAATCCAAGATTAATAGTAATATTAACAGTAAAATTGGCAATAATAATATCATTAGTAATAACAATAATATTTCTGATCAAGAATTTCATCCATATTGGAAAGATAATAGTATAATACGACCAAAATCAGCATCTCTACCACCTTCTATTGATCATTATCGTCCATTTTTCGATCAAAAATCATCATCAGATAATGTTAGTAATAGTAACAATAATGCAGAAAGTAACAACAATAGTAATAATAATAATAATAATAATAATAATAATAATAATAATAATAAAACTAGTAGCAATAATGATAGTAATAATAGTAGTGGCCATTTTAAAATTCGATCATTTAGTATCCCAAAAATATTCCATAAATATAAATTAGGCCACGCGATTCTAGATTTATTACAATCCGATAATCAACCATATTTCTTCGATCAGTCAACTAATACTACAAATAACACTAACCGATCCCAAGATGATCTTGACATGCTGTTCTATTCTCCACCAAAAGATTTATTAGATCATGGAATGTTATCGGATATTATTAGTATGTTGGAATGGTACGGTGGAAAGAAAAATGATTCATCTAATAACAATGGTAACAACAATGATCCTAATAACAAAAACACGACAACTACAGCCACAGAATGTGTTAATACATCTATCAATGCAAATAATTGGTTTGTAGAGTGTGAAAAATGTTAACAATTTACACTATTAATTACTAAATCGAAAAAAAAAATAACATTTGCTTGTGAAAAAAATATTTTTATATTTTATACAAAAAGACTTTTTTTTTTCTTTTTTTTCTTTTTTCTTTAAATATAAAAGATATATTACAATATTACACTACACACATAAACACACATATATACTATTTTTATAAATCTATGAGTGCGTACATATACATATATACATATATACATATATATTATTTACTTTTTTTTTTTTTTTCTGGACGATTTATATTATTATTTTACGAAAAATATTATGCAAAAAAACAAATTTTCTAAGATTTAATAATATATTTACACGTATTAATATTATTATTTGTTATATATTATGTAAATAATGTAAATAAAATAAATAATAATAATAATAATAATAATAATAAAGATTTTTTTACAAGCAAAACTTTTTTCGTATATTTCAATTATCAGTTGCAAATCAAAACAACGTGAACGTTGAACTTTTGAATTGGTCCATTATTATACAGCGGTAAATAAAGTAGTGAATAAAAACTCACAGGCTGAAAACTACTGATCAGATAAAGGATAATCTTTAAATAGATAACTCGGCGCCTCCAGATTATGCAACGTTATATTTGTTTATTAGGAAGAGAAAACCTGCCGGTTCTTTTGTTAATTAAAATATAAATCAATAAGTTTCCACATGGTAAAAATCATTAATCATTATAATATAAAAAAGTTTTGATCAAAGTAGAGTAATAAAAGAATTTTTTTATTTAATGTTTTTCAAGCAAGTTTTTTTCAAGATATATATATATATTCATTAATGAGTTAGAATTAATATTTTATCTTAAAAGAAAAAAAGAAAAAAAAAGCAACATCATCCATCCATTCGTTCAATTTGTTCGTTAATCATTGTTGCTGTTTTTCGACCATATCATTAACAACACGAAGACTATAATTCAAAACATTTTTTAATAAACGTTTGTATAAAAATCATCAACTAATTAATATCTTGTTAAAATTTAATTTTTACCTATCTGCCATAGTCATTGCTTTGTCGGTACGAGTCTATGTAATTTGATTAATAATAATAATAGTTGTTATAATAGTAAAATTATTAATTAATTGCATGTAAGAAGTAAAAAAGCCTTTTACATTAATTCTAATGTTACAATCAATTCTTGGTACACCAAGTTCGTGAATTTTGTCGATACAATCTCTAATTGCATTCATAACTTGCTCCCATTTTCCCTCTAATTTTAAATAAATATTATTATTATATAATTGTATAAAAATAATGTGTGTATGGATATGTACCGATATTTGTTCCACTACAATGCATACTATAGTTCAAACTAAACGAAATCAAAAGGTTAACGTTAAAATTATTTAATAAATTATATAATAATGATTTTATTTATTATTATTATTTCTTACTTGGTTTTTTTCAATATTTTCTGAATTTCGGCCATGTACTTGATAACGAATATTGTTGTTATTATTCGAAATAATAATAATTATATTATTTCATATTACTAACAAATATTTACCTTAGTAGTATTGACTTCTGTTCCCATAGGAACAATGCTAAAATCAGCAAGAACATGACAAGCTTGAGTAGTTGAAGGCATTTTTTTGAAAAAATTAAATCCTTTTTTTGTTATTATTTATTTTTTTGGTGAGAAAGTTTTTCTATATATAAATATTTAGTATATAATAATGATGTCAGAGAATATTAAATAAATCGCTACTTTTTTTCTCGAAAATTCTCACAAATGACTATTCGTAATACAAGTAAACTCGATAAGCCGGTGAGCTCATATGACCTAGTTATGAATGGGGTGAAAATTTTGGCAGACTTATCGAGTGATCGACCTTTAATTCGAATTAAAAATTTATTAGTATTAGTATTAGTATTAGTTATAAAAAATTTACTCGAATAGAAGCCCAAATGACAAGTCCATTTAGTGGATCACGTGAAACTAATCTTATACTTGAAGACAACAAAACCAAACATGGTGAACATTATACTACAAAGGATTTCAACATCATCATTATTAACAATTTTATAATGCCCCATTTGTTATCTTTGTTTTTTTTAAAGTGGTATATAGAGCTATTCTTGTATTATAAAATCAATTAATATGAAACTAATTTACATCAGATCTACTATGAAACCAAATAGTTATAGTATTATTAGAGACATTTTGAAAAAGGAACAAGGCGAGAAATCTAATTCCTATATTTTCAAATTAAGTGATACTCGGATGCTTGAAAATTATCCAATGAAAGAGAAAATGAAATTTACCAGGAAAAATGAAAAATTATAACCATTAACATTAAAAGAATATCAACACAAAGTTACGAAGAACCTAGAAAGAAAAGAAAATGGGAAGAGGAATAATTTACTTTTTTTTGCCAGAGCTCGTAGGAGTAGCAGACATGTGCAACTAGTGAAAAATCTCTCGTTTTTCAAAACCTAATTTTTTGGAGGAATTTTTTATTTTTCCACATTATTTCTTTTTTCCACGTGATAAACATGTGTATAATAAAAATTTTTGTTTATTTTACATTTTAAGAAAAGCATTGTTTTATTATTATTTTCAACGATTTCTAATTGGCATTAGTATCGTTTTTTGTTATTATATGCTAACACTAAAAAATGTATTTTTAATGGCGGCGAAGAGGACCCGAATCATCATGATTGAAACATTCTAGCTATTAGTAAACTTTACCTTTTAAGCATGTAACATTTTTTCCCCTAAAAGCTTTACCTATGGAACTTCAGATGTAACCATTGAAAATCGGCAATAATAATAAATATTCCCACCAACATTTATTATTATTATTATTTGCTGAGCAAAAATTTTATTTATTTTTAATTAAAGAGTTGTTAGTTGTTACATGAATAATAATAATAATAAAATGCATATACAGTGTATTGATAAATTTAATATTAAAGATTAAGGCCTAGTCCCACTTGAGAAATAAATAGTTGTAAAGATGGGAAACTTCAATAATGTTCTTCGCCTTTATTGATAGATGTAAATGGAAATAATTTGTGCATAATGAAAAAAATGATGATAATAAAAATATAATAATAATGCATAGCATATGACCACGGACAAAGGCAAAATGCCAATTTGGCTAATAAAAAAATCGAAGAATCTCAAATATTAATTTGCATAACAAATAAAAACATTCATTTTTGTATTACATAAATATTTACATGAATTGTTACTGCGAAAAAGGCTCACTGTCATCCTCTGTTAAAATCTTGTTTGTAAACTTTATAAGTCGGACGCAGCAATCAATTGTTTAAAGTACTTGATCATATAAATAAATACCGAATATATTACCAAGAATTACACAATTTTATAACCGTCCATCAGTTATCTTTGCTTTTTTCTTAAGTGTATATAAATAATTAACATGAATTCATTTACATCAGATCTGTAGCCCAAGAATTATAGTACTATCAAAAGCATTTTAAAAAAGGAACAAGGTGAGAAAATTTCTCCTTATGTTTTCAAAATAAATGATGCTCATACACATACACTGGAAGCATATCTAAGAAATGAAAGGTTTACCTATGAAATTTACCAACAAGAAAGAAAAACCATAATCAGTAAAAGAATTTTACTACAAAACCATGAAAAATTTAGAAAGAAAATTGGAACTTAACACAGATGAGCATGTTTTTGTTATCTTTTAAAGGTTAAAGATGTTAAAAATATATTTGGTAAAAAAGAATTAGTGCGAGTTGGTTTGGTTTACTTCAATTATTTGCTCTTGTTTCTTTTTAGGTGAATATTCTTGCTTGTCTTTTTTGTAAACTGTTGTAGTTTATCTTTTTCCTTGTCAATGCTGGTAAATGCTTTGCTGGCTAAATATAGTTTTTGTTTTTAGTTGCTGAATTTCTTGGGCTTGTTGACTTATCTCAACTGTTTCTAATTGCTCTAATTTCTCAGCTAATTGTCTTTCTCTTCATTCTTGGCTACTTCTAAGGCTTCAAGGCGAGTTTCAGCATCTACTCTTTGCCTTTTTAGTTTTTCAATCTCATCAATTGGTGCAACTGTTATGTCTCCAACTTCTATTTCTTTGTTTGATCTACCTTTGTTGATTTCTTTGATGAGTGTATTATGTTTTTTAACTTTCACAAAGCAACATCTTTACTTCGTTTACCAACAGTGGAATATGGTATTTTTTTGTAAACTTCTTGATATAATGGTAAAAATTATGAATAAAAAATTATGGAAGATAGGTATTTAAAAAATATATGATTACAAGAGATAAAATATTTGTTTATTAATAATTATTATAATGAAATTACAATGATTAAAATGATTAAAAACAGATTTATAAGAATATTATTACATGATTATATCATATTTACATTTAAAATGACAATGTACTTAATTTCGTTATCTGCTAAAGAAAGACTTCATTAATAACCAATCATTAAAAAATAATAATAGCCTATATTTTCTTTCTTCTGCAATTGTCACTGTTATGTATATAGTAATTATAAATATTATATTACATGATTAGAAGAAAAAAAATATATTAAATCACAAAGAGAATTTATTTTCATTAATATTAATACTAAAAATGCGCTCAACATACATTAATTCCTTATTTTTTATTATTTATTATCCTTTAAACGGTTTTTCGCCATTGATAGCCGAAATTTTTTTCTGTTATAAAATTTTTTTCTGAGGTATCACTTCCTAACACGAAAATGATCTTTGAGCTTCAGCTGATTGATCTGTGAATAAAAATTCGGTTGTTGTCCTTGTGGTTTTCGTAAAATCATCCTTAAAAGTTGATCGATTGACTATTTTTACTTTGCAGATCGTTAAATTGGCCAATAAGAATGCAAGATCGTGATTTTGTTACCATTAAAGAATACTTTGACCGTTTAGGCCTAAGTTGAACATAACCTTACATTATTTTATTACTGGATTTAATTGTTATAGATTGCAAAATGAAAATCAAAGGATTACTGCAACTAAACTTACTCTTCCAGGTATTTCAGATAATGATTCAAAATCAGTAAACGTTACAAGTGAAACCCACCCAGTTACTATTGAAATAGCTAATACATGTGACTTGATGAATAATTATCAAGATGCAATTACCAGTGATACTAGTGTTGATGATTCTAGTATTTTTTGATTCACGTCATGCATTCAATGATATTTCCAATGTAACGTTACCATTTAAAAAATCAAGCAATTATAATGAAATCGAAGAACATAAATTTAAATTTATTACTATTAATATTCAGAAATAATTATTGCTATTATATACTTTTTATTTCAACAATTGTATCTTTAATATCTATTTGTTGTATAATTTATAATGTTTTGCATTTTATAAAGAGAATTTTTCTAGTGGAATTGTTAACGAGGTTACACGGGTGGATAAGCTTAATTTATTTAATTTACTATTTTGCTCTTTCATAAAAATCTTATTATATAAAAGGATATAGTTCCTAATGATTATGTTTAGATACAATAAAAGCTACGCATTCTGACAGTAATTCATCATCTAATCGTTTATAATTAAATCAAATAGTAATAGTAAATCTTAACTTTAGTCTACTTTTATACAAAGTATAGGAGACTTGCTCTTTTCTCAGTGACAAAATTTTCTGGCATTACCCATTTCTCAATGATCTACAAATCTTCAAAATGACGTTTTCTTTGATTATTATAATCTTTTTCGAAGAAAAAATTAAGTTTAGAAGGATATAATATTCATTATAATAGCTGTTCGCCATCGATAATAAAACTGTATATCTTATTGATGAGGTATATGGATGATGATGATGATGATGATGATGATGATGATGATGATGATGATAATAATAATAATAATAACATAAATTCGAATTATTTCTCAACCAATTAAACTCAGATACATGTAAACTCGATAAGTCGGTCATTTATTTATACTTAATTGATTGCTACGTCCGACTTATTGAGTTTACGTGTGTATCTGCAGAAAAATACTAAAATGCAACATAATACGCGTATTTGAATTCCATGCGATCATAACTTTTACATCGTTAGAATTAGTTGACAACAACAACAACAACAACAATATCAGTTATAGAGTCCTTAGGCTTTAAATATTCCAGTAACACCAAAATTAGCATTAGACATTTGATTTCATTTTGTCATCGTCTCTTCCTTGCATATATGTAGATCTTGTAGATATTACAGTATTTTGTCATACATTTTTTACTAACAATTAAATTTATTGATTAATGTGGCAGAGCCTTTGTCATATTGATCGAGATGTTAACCTCAATTCTTGCCAGTAAAGTAATCTGGTCAACTATTCGATTTTAAGAATTTGGATTGTTTGTTGTGTCATTTGTTAAATTCTGTAAAATTAAGGGTTTACAATTTGGGAAATCACACAAATTTAAATAGTGACGAGAAAGAATCTGCAGCTGAACTGGGAAAAAATGATTGCTCAACAATTTTTCACTTGAGTATGTACCGTTAATATTAATTGAAAGTAGGAAACAATTTTTTTGTAATTAATAAATCTAAATATAAATATAATTTAATTTAGGTGCATCTGCAGCATATTTACATCTACATCTGGATCTGACGCACAACAACAATAATAGTAATAATCTCACTAACAAATACAACTAATAGTAATGCCGTCATCGTATTTACCAATAATATTATTTTTATTGTTGAAGGACTTTCTACTAGTGATTCAAGAAAATAATAATGAAGAAACATTCACTAATGCATAGCGTGCATGCACAACACACACACACTCTATCTCATAATATACATAAATATAATACTAATTTAAAAATAAAACCATTATTACTATAATTACATTAATACTTGTTATAGTTTATTGTTGTAAAGTATTGCTTTGTAAGTTTGCTGTTGAAAGACATTGATTTACAACTTCTAATAAATGCGTATTTTCCAAAGCTGCAGCAACTCGTTCTTTATCATTTAATTGTTTATTAACTAAGTTTAATAAAATTATTATTAGCATAACAAAATTAATTTAACCAATTCGATCGATTTTAATCGATTATTAATTATTAATCTTTCTCAATATATACACACATACCAGCTTGTTCTGACTGATGAGACCCTTTCCTAACATTTATATCAACTTTAAATCTTTCTGGTAAACTTCTTAACAACCTAACACGTATGCACAATCCAATCAATGTAGCCATGGAACAATGAGGTATGGTTGGTGTGAACTCGATCACAATATGATTATTCTGGTCATCTATACTGACATGCTCAAGTTGTGTCACATTCAATTGTTCAAGAGTTAACGGATGTTCTGGATCTGATATCGATCTAATTAAATCTATGAAAAAAAAAGGAATTTAGTATATTGTAGAATGGAATAAGTAGCATATAGTTTTATTCATACATTATTATTTTATTTTAATATAATAATAATATTTTATCATTATTATTATTAACCTATATAGTTCTTATATACCAACCAAAAACCTCCTGAGAATCAATAGCATCTTCAATATTTTCATCCTGGTCTTCTATTTTCAAAACTCTGTGGGAAGTTTTGGAAGGTGTATAAACTGTTGGATTTGCATTTAAAACTGCCATTATTATAAAAAAAGTGTTTTTTTAAAAAAAAGACTTGGTTTATATTAAAAATTGTAACTTGATCTACATATCCGAAACCAATAGCCAATCAAAATTTAACGCCAATGAATTGCCAAGTACATTATTTTGTATATTTATTTAATTATTAAAAGTTCGTCCCCAATAAAGAACAAGGTTCCGACATAAAATCAGCGAAAGATTATTTTGACCAAACAATGAATTAAAAAATAAAGAATTTGAAATTTGATTATTTATTCAAATTAAAAAGCAGAAAAATATTCCAAATGTGTATTAAATAATGGTTTTTTTGAATTCTTCATATAGTGGATGCCCTTTAATTGGAAGTTTAACCTGTTTCCATTTTTTGACGTTTAGTAGATGTTGACATACATGATGGAATTCCAAAAGTTTATTGGACAAACCAGCTTGTTGAAATGATACACTTGCATTTTCCTTTGTTATTAATTGTTTAGGATTTACTAATTTGATTGATCTATGGACTGATAGTTATAAGGTATTATCAATAAATGCTACACATAAAGGTCAACATAGGAAATAAAAATAGTACTTCAGATTTAGCACTGTTGCCAAAATTCCAAAGACGTTTGATAAATTTCCTTCTGTGTCTATATAGTACCTCTATAATCTCACTACGATATATCCTTCTGTGTTATCCATCTTAACCATTATAATTAATCAAGACAATTATTACTATATTAGGGTTTACACTTTCGTCAAAATGGTTTCGCGGCCAAAAATAACATTCCAGATGTTGTACCATTTTCATCTTTCAGGTTAAAGCAAGCTTTCTTGTATAGCCATTTTTAAATTAGAAACATGATTTGACAGTTGTAAAAAAATTCATCAAATTAAAACTTACAGTGAATACAAATCAATTCTAATACAATCTATTTAGTCATATGTTAAGTCAAGTTTAGTGAAGATAATTATTACTAAATTAGGTTTTAACCCTTTTATGCTACCAGCCCTGTTTTATACCCCATTATTAAAATGCAGTTTTTATAACCAAATTTTTTGAAGCCACTTCTATTTAAATTGCTCCAATAATCTGAACTTTTATTTTAACTGCTGCTTATTCATTTTAGTTTTTTTTTATATAATAATAAGTTAAGATAATTTTGATTTGTGTGTTTTGTAAACCTGGTGTTCAGAGATCTTGTAAAGTCTGAGGGGATTCATCTTCCTGTGGGATAATGTGACTTCTTTCTCTGTGTGTTGAACTGGATAGCTCATAGTGACTTTCAAAAGACGTATAAAGTTCTGATTCTTTGAGTTAAAGTTTCTGAGGCATGTAAAGGCCAGTGGCGGTATGGATAGTGCATATTTGTCTTCTGGTGTTGCTACGAAACAACTGCTATCATGGCTACCTATTATCTATGTGGTAGCTTTATTTGTCAGAAGAAAGTTTCAGGTTAAAGGCAGAAATGTTACTATAGAGAATTTTTATACTAAGACTTTTATATTCTTTTTTTTTTGACCTACTGTATTTGAATTATAAAGTTTTAAAGTTGACAGATATTCTCATTACGGTTTGTATTAATCAAGCATTTGGATACTACTACTTAGCTGGGAATAACAATTTAACATTAACATTAATATGTATACTTCAATTCTACCATTAGGTGCAAAGTTATACAGAAATATTGGAAGATGTTTTAGCAAAAGGGTATGGACTTACTATATAAGTTTTTGGGAAAATAAATTTTCCATTTTCAGAAAAACAACAGGCAAGAAAGATTTTATTTGAAGCTTTGAATATTATTGTAAATGAGTGTGGTAAACAAGCCTCAAAAGCTCATTACATTCTTGACAAATTTGATGCACACATCAATCATCAGGAAATTTTTTCTGATGTGGATTTACATAATTATTACACTATTTACATAAGTTTACAGCAGGCCCTGTAATATTATGCAAAAATCATACTAAAATTATGCAATTATTACATTGAGTGAAATATTACATAATTTTTTATGCAAATATTACAACTTTACATATTAAAATTTATGGATGTAATATTATGATTCCAACAAGGTTAAAAGCTTTTGGGAAAATGTCTGTTTACAAAATGAACAAGTCAAAACTCATAATGATCAATTGTTATTAACTGAAAAAAAGGTAAGTATATTGCACCATTCACATCTTCAAAATGATGATATGGTTATTTACATTTTTTCTTTTTGGAAAAACCAGAAACAACAATTCATACAAGTTGAATCTAATATAGTTGATCAGCATTTCATTGCAAGTGATAAGCTGTTATCTGAGTATATGGTTTGTAAATATAGTTTCTAGTTCATTGATCTTCTAATTAAATATCAATGAGGTTCAGTTTCTGTATAATAATTTGTTATGTCCATTTAGGAATATATATCCACAGCTGAGAGATCTAATCAAGAAAATGTTGAGAAAGGTGGTGGTGAATAAGATGATAATACCAACGATGAAGAAGTTATGGAAGAAATGCAAAATTCAGATTATGAGGAGTTTATGGAAAGATACAAAAAAATGGATAACGATAGGGAATGGAAATTAATGACTGGAAGGATAGTTGAAGACAGTCTCTATGAATTTGGGAATGAAGTGTAAGTATGAACAGTAAGTATTCACCACATTTTAAATGATGCTTGCTTACTTGTTTCTAATATTTAACATCAGAAATTTCTGATTTACCAAAGTCTATGCATTTAGGTATTACATATCCTACAGAGCCAATTCTTATTAATGCAGCCACCAGTATTCTACTTGGTAAGAACAAAGACATTTTGCTTAAAACTTTTTCTTTGTTGAATGATGATATGTTAAGGGGAATCATTGATGGTGGAAACAGAGGTGAGCTTGTGGCTAGGATAATCTTGATACTTGTAAAAGATTTATATTGGTCAGATAAATTGCAAGGGGACCATTTTGATACCTTCATTCTATTACAGTACATGAATATCTAATATTGCTTTTTGGTGATAAAGGTTTTAAATAACATAATCACTTTTTGACTATTGATGATGAGGTTCTGGCATCCTCTTGAAAAAGTATCAAGAATATGCAGACATTCTAATTCTAATATTTCTTGGATTTGATGTTAAAAAACAAAACTTCAGGATGTCATACAAGTTAAAAATCTTCAGGAATCAATTGATCCCAATTATCCTCAAACTGCAACCAATAATCTTCAAGATTATCTTTTATTTGATGATGCAAAGGAACAAAATGTACCTTATGTTACCATATACATGGACTTTGAGAATGAATAAAAAAGGGTGATAAAACCAGAGTACAACTGGCATCAGACACGAACTTACATGCATCCTGGTGATAATCCCACAAAACAACAAAAAAATGCAGCAGCTTTAGGATTTAGTGCTGATATATATCCATTTTTCTTAGCATTACCTGAAAATATAATCAATGAGTTGTTAAAAAGTGATATGGACCATGAGCAAATCATTGAAACAATGCAAGGTAGTCTGAAAGAACAGAATATATATGTTTCTAAAAAGACATTAGAGGGGATTATTAAACCTCATGACCTTGACTTAATAATAAGAGTTGTAATTCAACATATTGAAACAAATATATATATATATATATATATACATATATTAATCAATTGCTTATAATGAATAACAATAAACTTGGAATTTAAATTTAATTGAAGTGAAGGCATTGTTGATATTTAATAAATCTTTTCAAAACACATGACTTTATTTTATTCAATAAACCTTTGTTATATGCGATTTATCTAAGTAACTTTTTGTGACATAATGTTCACTTTGTTGCAGGATGACCCATATTAAAAATGAATGAATTGGAAGAATTTGAAATTTTTGAAATATATATGGTTGATCTTTTATCACGTGATAACAGTCAAGAAAAAAATTGAGAACAAAATTTTTACTTTTTTCTATACTTTTTATTATCTTATTTATCTATAAGTACATATTATCTGGATAAAATTACGCACTTGACAATCTTCACAAACACGTGACAATAAAAATTTTTTGATTGTAAATTTTTTCTCAAAAATTGTCACCGTGGCGCAGAAAGTTGTAGGGACTAGGTGTCTTGCACTATATATACGCGTAAAAATTAATAATTTAAAAAATCTAAAAAATTTTTTTAAAAGACATAAAACATAAAAAAATGTCTTCAAGAAGATCAACAATGTCATATAGAACCTCTTATAGCTCAATTAGTTCTGAAATTATTAGTGACAACAGAAGTGACAACAGAAACAGCATCAATATTGAATATACTACATCCAAACGAAGAAAAGATTTTGAACACACTTTAAGAGACTGTGATGAAATATTAAATTTCATTGTACGTGGATATGTGTATGCAACCGAAGGTGCTGTTGATTTAGAAGGAGTTGGTTGTGAGGATGAGGTTGATAAATATTAATTATTCATCAATTAGTTTTGATTAAAATTTTTGATAATATATATACCGATATTAATTAATTAATTAAGGTAAAACGATTTGATGATAATATGAGAGAACTTATAGATGTTGAGACTAAATTGAAAATAGAAAGAGAATCATTAGAAAAAATTATTGTTAAATGCGATGCAGGACAAGAAATTGTAATATTTTATTTAATCTTAATAATTTATAATAAAATAATACTTATATACGAATCTTTATATTTTTAAAAAAGGACTTTTTGGATTCTCATGAAGAAGAAGTAAAAAGATTAAACATAATTTTTGATGATAGAAGCGAAAAAGAAAAATATTTTCAAAATGAACATTATAATGAATTTAAACAAAAAGTTTGGGTAAACTTGATTGATATAATATTTATTGTTTATTATAATAATTATTATTAAATTTCAATTATTCTTACATACAACCAATTTGGCTAAATAAGGAAGTAAACCATCAAGATGAACCAATGCCACCATTAGATGCTGATGCAGATGATGATGTTGTAGTTGGTAGACAAAAAGAGTCATTAAAATGCCCAATCACTACCTTGTTATATGAAGAACCAGTCACAAGGTAAAACTTAACCATTCATAATAATGATGAGGAAGAAAAAGAAGATATTAAATAATTATTAATATTGCTTTATTCTATAAATTTAGTAATGTTTGTAAACATACATTCTCAAAAAGTGCAATTTTACAACTGATTTCACGCAATAGAAATGTTGTTTGTTGTCCAATACCTGGTAAAATAATAACTATTCTATCATTGTTTCTGTCATTATTCTATCATTGTTAATTTAATTTAATCAAATCAATTTAGGTTGTGATAGACAAATAATGTCACATAATCTTATACCAAATAAAAGAATGGAAAGAAAGGTTGCTCATTTCATCGCTGAGAGAGATGATCAAATGGAAGATTTAGAGGTAAACTAAAAATTATATAATCTTTTAATATTAATCATTTAATTTGTCAATTAATAATACTAATGATATAAGCTTTATTTTGTTTTAGTATACAAATGTTGAATAGTTAATAATATTATTATTATTAAGAGGGAAGAAAGCTATGTGTAATAACGATATTAACTAATATACAATATATATACATAAAATAAAAAAATTGATAATTAGGATCCTCTTCAACAAGACTTTTTCATATGTTTTAAAATGAGAAGGAAAAATAATTTTACACCTTTTATCAAATATCATCATTTTCATTCATTATCTAAAATTTCATGATTGAACAAACATTTTTATCAAGATTAGATTTTTTATTTCTTTCCCTTTAGATTAGATTCTTCTACTTCTATTTCGTTTCGTGATGTCGATGAAGTTGATGGTTGCGTTAAATTTTCTCTAAAGTGTAAATTTTTTTTTTATACTAAGTTTCTTTATTCTTTTTTTTTTCTCAGATATGAAACATTTTAGTAGCATTTACCTTTTATATTGCTCAAAAATCGGTATCCAAATATATAACCCAGATGCTACACCTACAACAGCAGCAATTAAAATTGGCGAATGTCTGCCAAAAAAAATGCTCATGATTTTTGATTTACGACAAAAATTTTTTGGAGATCAACATCGTGCAAACACGTGAACATAAATAATCCCTTGTTTAAAATTTTGATAATTTTGTTTGATTTCGGAAGTTCTGATGATGAGACTATTAACAAATTTTCTTATTAGAAAATGAATAGAAGTTTGCCTAAACTACTAAATTTCGGAAAATTAAAAAAAAAGTAAAATGCCGAAATTTTAGGCATAATTATTTTTGCCGAAACTAAATTTATATGCCAAAACCAAATTTACATGCCAAAACTATGTGCCTAAATTAAATTTATATGCAAAAACCATAGATAACTACTAAACTTTATTATATTTTATCGCATGACAATGAATAATTTAAAATTTAACATGTAGATGTAAAAAAAATTTTCGGAGTTTCACGCATTTCTATTGAAAAGTTCCATGTGTCTAGCCACTCTTTTGAAACCAGAGTTAGACTTAAAGCTCTGAATGAGTTGGTTTGAAGCAACTTAACATTTCATAAAACGTATAAATCAAATTCGAGCTCAACTTGACTAGGCTCGACCCATTCGGAGCTTTACACCTAATCAACAAATTCCAAAAGAAGCTTGTATTATAATACTAATATAATAATTTTTAATGAATAATTTATATTTGGCAGAAATAATATTTTAATGATTCTAATAGCAGAAGTAAGCAGCAGATTCTTGGTATGATCACCAGCAGATATTTCATTGTCCCTGAATTCTAGTTAATTTACTTTTTTTTTTTTTAGTTATTTTGATTAAATTTATAACAAAATTAAGAAGAATGCAAATGAAACAGGCAGAGCTTGAGGATGATGTTTTTATACGCAGCAGATTCTTGGTATGACTGCCAGATTTTTATTTTTTTAGCTGGTCCAACCTTGTCCAATGCCAACCCTGCTTTGTGGGTGCATATGTGAAAATTTGTCAATGAAAATACTAATTTGATTGGATTTTCAATATGCAACACAATCCCAACATTGATACCGGTTGGTGGTGACTTGAGTCAAGTGACTAAAGTTAAGTTGGTGATCAAAGTTAAGACAGGTGGCTAAAGTTAAGTCATTATGTCAAATTACATGAAAAAGACTAATAACACTTTAGTTAAGTCATGTTGACCAATCTTAGCCAGCCCTGCTTCAGACCAACAAGAAAATCTCTATTCACTAATTTATAGCTTATTTCATCTAATAAGAATATAAGTGATTGGGCTATTCTATTGTCACTTCTTCTTGGGCTTGATAGCCCACGAATATCTGCATAATTTTCAAGGAAGTTTTTTTCTACCCTGCAACATTTTTATTTTGGTTTTTTTTTCTTCTTCATGTTACCATGAACTCTTGATACAAGTTCATTGTTTGTCAGATGATTGCTGATATTTTCAAAGTAAGTCCTACCATATTAAAATAAATTTCTTGACAAAGATGTGTATTTTGACCCTAGTAGTAGGAAGTACATTCATTAGATCTGGTTTTCTTTTTAAGGAGTCTGGTGGTGCTGATTAATGCTCCACATGAGTCTAGTTGGCTCAAGCTGGCTTGCAAGCAGCAAGGCCAATCTAGAACCTTCTTTAAATTGGCTTGCTGGCTTGCAAGCCAGCTCAAACTAACATTCTGGATCGTGAGTTGGTAGGACTTGACCATATATATGTACGTGGGGGGTTCAAAAAGTTTTGACACTGTGCAATTATCTTGATGATCCTCAAATGTTTCCCATTTTGAGAATAATCATTTTATAGCTTGGGTAACATCCAATAAGTAATAGAAAATTTGGCACAACTTGATTTGACAATTGTGGAGAAATAATTTTTTCAATATTGCCTATTAACAATAATGGAAAATACTACATGTGAAAACCAATGATACTACATCTGGGTATGCTGGAAGAATGGTAAAGATGCTACTGATATCCATAGGGAGTTGGTCACTGCTGAAGGGGACAAGGCACTATCCAAACGTACAATTTACCGCTGGATTGAGGCATTTGAAGCTGGACAATTAAGCATTGAAGATGCCCCTCATTCTGGACATCCCTGCGATGCTGTCACACCTTCAAACATTAATATCATTGAAGACCTTATAAATGACTACCCCCATATTACAATTGATAATATTCAGCAAGTGGTTCCCATTTCAACTGGAAGCATTGAAACCATCTTACATGAAGAAATTTCTGTCAGGAAGGTGTGTGCAAAATGGGTTCCTCACACTCTTACTAATGAAAACAAGCAAAAACGAGTTGAGGTTTCAAAGCAATTGTTGGGGTACCTTGAAAATGGGTTTCAAAATATTATTACTGGAGATGAAACATGGCTTCATTTTTTTACAGTCTCATCTAAAGATGCCAACAAGGTTTGGCTAAGCAAAGGAGAAAACCGGCCACAAATTACAAGAAAAGCTCAAAATAGCAAAAAACGAATGCTTTGCATTTTCTTTTCAGCTGATGGAGTTGTGGCAAGCATTGTGGTGGAGAAAGGACAGACAGTCACTGGTAATTACTATGCCAACATAGTTTTACCAAATGTTTTCGAAAAATTCAAAGAAATCAATAACAGGAGCACAGTACGTGACATTATGCTGCATCATGACAATGCAGCACCACACAAGGCAAAGGTTGTCACTGAATATCTGCAAAAAGAGCGAGTTGTAATGCTTCCCCACCCTCCTTACAGTCCTGACCTGGCCCCTGTGATTTTTTTTTGTTCTCTAAAATTAAGAAAGAACTTGGTGGGAAGAGGTTTGAGAGGATTCAAGACCTTGCGCATACTGTAAAATTAATAACAGATAACATACCACAAGAAGAGTATTTTAATTGTTTTAAAAATTGGTGTATGAGACTGAGACATTGTATAGAAGTTAAGGGAAACTATTTTGAAGGAATGAGTTAATATGTAAATAAAAAAATTTAGACATATAGTATTAACATCCCATCCATTTACAGTGCACATAAAATATTTTTTATTGGATATTTTTAAAATTTAATATCTTAGTAACTAACTGGCCAAAAAATTTAAACTTTTTTTTGTTTGAAAGATAAGAATGTCTAATCTTTATAACAATATTTTTAAACCTATTACATTTAAAATCATAAAGTTATATGACTTTGTAACAAAAATTTTCAGTTGATTTTATTGATGATCTTTGCAAATTATTATTTCAGTAATCAATGAATTATAAAAAACAAACAATTTTTTATTTGAAAGAGGAGAAATAAGCCTTTTATTTAACAAAGAATTCAGATTAATTTAATTCAAGGTTATAAAGTTATAGGTCCTGTGACAAAACTTTTTGAACCCCCCACGTACCATCAACATATTAAACAAAAATTATATTAATCTGTTCACGCGTGGGGGAGAGGAGAAACTTATATTTAGATTTGATAGACAGGAAAAACTGACGTTTTGGATCAGATAAGAAAAAGAAAGTTCAAAGTGGATCAAAAATATTATCATCCATGTGAGTGATCTTTCTTATTCTAATCTTTTTCTTTAAAGATTACATATTAATATTTGTCATTTATTTATTTATTAGATCGGACATAAATATCAATTGGGCCTGTCTTCTACTGATATTGAATTTCTTGGTGTGAGCGAGAAGGAAGTATAGATGAAGATGATGCAGATTATTTAAAGCGAAAAAGAAATTATTGGTGGGTCAGATCTTACAAAACTTAAAAGATATAGAAACTGGCAAACATGAGATCTCTAAAAAAATAACAGCTAGATAGATGTCCAGAAGTGTCGCCATCACCACCATCATTATCAAATATTAAAAGTGATGTTGTAAAAAAACGAAAAAGGAAAAGGAAAAGGAAAAAGAAAGAAGTATTCAAGTAGTAAGTGCATATATTAATTTATGTATACTAAATTTTTATGTAAGCAATAATTGAAAATAGTTATAATAATAGCACTAATAATTAATGTTTGGTTTTATCAGATGAAGAGCCAGATTATGTTAAAGCGATATTTGTGGCGGATGATGATAATGATTTTCTTGTTTTTTGTATATATGTTTCCCTAATCTAACGACTTTACCCAATTTTGAAATGTCTGGTTGCACAGGAAATAATTCATTTGTAAAGAATATTCAGTTCAGTTCAGTTACGATACGAATCAGCACGAATATTCTAAACGTCCTGTTTCTCAATTTTAGTAAACTGAATTTTTGGGGATGAGTCGTTTGCAAATTGATTTGAAATTTTGAAATATTTTCGTTTTCCAAAAAAATGATAAACGGCTATGGTTATTTTACGTCACAGTCACAGTAAGTGACATCATGCTGCATCATGACAATGCAGCACCACACAAGGCAAAGGTTGTTGCTGAATATCTGCAAAAAGAGCGAGTTGTAATGCTTCCCCACCCTCCTTACAGTCCTGACTGGCCCCCTGTGATTTTTTTTTGTTCTCTAAAATTAAGAAAGAACTTGGTGGGAAGAGGTTTGAGAGGATTCAAGACCTTGCGCATACTGTAAAATTAATAACAGATAACATACCACAAGAAGAGTATTTTAATTGTTTTAAAAATTGGTGTATGAGACTGAGACATTGTATAGAAGTTAAGGGAAACTATTTTGAAGGAATGAGTTAATATGTAAATAAAAAAATTTAGACATATAGTATTAACATCCCATCCATTTACAGTGCACATAAAATATTTTTTATTGGATATTTTTAAAATTTAATATCTTAGTAACTAACAGGCCAAAAAATTTAAACTTTTTTTTGTTTGAAAGATAAGAATGTCTAATCTTCATAACAATATTTTTAAACCTATTACATTTAAAATCATAAAGTTATATGACTTTGTAACAAAAATTTTCAGTTGATTTTATTGATGATCTTTGCAAATTATTATTTCAGTAATCAATGAATTATAAAAAACAAACAATTTTTTATTTGAAAGAGGAGAAATAAGCCTTTTATTTAACAAAGAATTCAGATTAATTTAATTCAAGGTTATAAAGTTATAGGTCCTGTGACAAAACTTTTTGAACCCCCCACGTACCATCAACATATTAAACAAAAATTATATTAATCTGTTCAC